CAAAATACAGTAAAAAAAATTACTTTATTTGCCATAATAGACAGTCGCCTTTACTGGAGAGTTTGGTTTGAAGTTGTTAATTGTAACTTATTAAGAGGAGATTGTGAGCAATATTAACTCTGTTGAGGTACTTTCCAGACTGAATTTTTCAAGATCATATTCCACACTAAATAAATGTCAGGTTACTTAGTTACCTCGTTAACGTAAAATTTACCTAGAGCTAATAGCACTACCCATGTGTTTCGTAAAGCTCGAGGGCTGTCTGTAATAGCCGTCCCTGATTTTGAAGTGATGGACTAGAAAGAAGGCAGCTAGTCAATATCACCCACCGCCAACTCTTGGGCTACTCTTTACCAACAGCCCCCCAGTGGTATGTCTGCGGGCTTACAACGCTAGAAACCGGGTTTCGATACCGGTGGTGGGCAGAGCACAGATAGCCCATTGTGAAGCTTTGTGCTTAACTACAAACAAACAAACTTTACCAACAAATAGCGAGATTAACCGAAACATTATAATGTCTTTAATGCTGAAATGGAGAGCATATTCGATGATGGAATTCGAACCTGAAACCAACAGGTTGCGAGTCTAGCGCCCTAACCACTAGGCCATACTAGGTCTGACTAACCATGTGACTGGTTATTCTACTGACTATCAGCAAAAAAGATAACCACTAACCATATAAATTTACATACTACCAGTGATCTTGCCGCTATTTTTACAATGGGAAGAGAAAAGATGCCTTTGTAGGTGAATTACAAATAACAATATGCAACTAGAACAAAAGAAACTTAAAAACCTTCTTTGAACAACTTGTTATGTGGAAACTGCACAAATAACATATTTTGAAAAATTCGTATATTAATACAAGGAGGTAGAAAACACATGGAATACTTATTACCACACAAGCACCTATTATATTTGGTCTCCTAATAGGACTGCTGTTAGATAAAATAAAATAAAGTTCTTTAATTTAGTGAAATTCATTGCGTTATTTTTATTTCCAGGTGGCAATGATTACTTTTCAATGGTGCCACATGGTTGTGTTTTTTACGAGTAGTAACTAATAGTAACAGTACTAATATATTATTTTAGCAGTAATTTCGTACATCAAAGGAAATTTACGTAAACATTATTAAAAAGTAAGCCTATTTTTTGTCAGATTGATATCGGGTTTAAAGAAATATATACATATATATCCTGTATATTTTGCTTGTAGTTAGGGGATCCAGAGTTACCAAATTATATAGATAGACTTAATCCTTCACTTCAGTTACATTTAGGTGCCTTTTTTGTGAATCGTAATAATGTTATTTTAATAACTCGTAATACTTACAGGTGTGACATAAAAAAAAAGCCATGATGCAATTTGCAATTCACTGTCAAATACGTACATTTCTTCTTAAAATGTTTAAAATATAAAGTATCACTGTTTTTGCTGTGTAGAATGAAGCAGTATCTTTAAACTGAAAATAAATATTTGTTAAGTGTTATAAATTATAATTTATAGGCCTAAACTTTAGGATTTCTCTTGGGTAAAACGTTAATAGCCTTCTGTCACCGAGTTTTGATGTAATTATAAATCATAAATGTAGCATTGTACCACACGCGCCATAAATTTTATGCCAGGTCGCACGTTACAATAAATTCTAATACTTTCTAGGCTAGTACTAGCTTTACTGTACTACAACTGTATTAGTGATAGTATTACTATTGGAGCATATTACTTCCAGTTCTACCAGCTACAATGTACAAGCACCATTCAGTGATCCATTACTACTACTAGTTAATTACACTGCAAATCTGTTGAATGTAATAATCCTCCTCTTTTTATCTCTTGCAAGCCTATCCTTAAGGATAGTGGTTGATAATAAATCAAAAACTGCAATTCCTCTGTTTGGCTCATTGAAGTCTTGCCATTGTATATAATAAACCATCCTTAATCACTTCAAGAAGTCTCTCTTCCCAGTTATTTGACTCCATACAACCCCAATCAAAATCAGTCTGTCTAAAATTAAAGTGTCTCATAATTATTTTGTCATAAACTTAATGATTTTCTTTTTGGGCATTAATCACTGCTGGGAATATGATTGAACAGATGAAAGTATATTGTATTCTAAGTTACTAGATACTTGTTTCCTAGACAAATACATTTTATTATTTCTTTTGGATTTTATCAAGTAGAAATTTTAACCTATTTTTCTTCCATATTTGTGGCTTTAAGAACATGCATATTTTAGCCAAATATTTATGTAAATATAATGCTTTCAGTGTGTTAAACATATTAAGTAAGGGCCTTATTTTTCGTGAAAATAACTTGTGTTTAATTAAGATGCTTGTGCAGATAAATATGTGTTTTAAGAATAGAAAAAATAAAGGTGGTAGTAGACTATTTGCTTAATCAAGGACATTTTTCTACTAAGCAAAACATCAAAAGAAATTAAAAATACCAGTTCTTTCCAATATTTTTATATGTACTGTTTACTTATTCAACAACAGTTTTTAATGAATTTCAGCTAACAACAAATACCATTTTACAGACTTAAATTTCAAAGCATGAATTAATTTTTTCTTAATAACAAATTTGAATCTTCAGTAAAGCTGGGTGACTAGTGGTATTTGCTAATCAATTAATTGACAGCCCAATTTTTTGATTACGTTCGATCAGTCTATTAGTGCAGTGTTCCTCAAAATATTTTACTTACAAGCATACAGCCAGTTTACTTCCTTCTAGTCTGCAGTTCCCCAAAAATAGCGACAAAACAAATGGTTGGCAGAGAATGCTGCTAGAGTTGCCTGCCTTCTACAGAGTTGCTGATCAACAACAACAACAACAAAGAAGTATAACAAATTCCACCTGGTAGTTGCCTTCCTTCTAGTCAGCAGTTAAAAGCTTGTGACTGGTATATAGCCTTAGTAGCTCTTCCATAACAAAGACAGGGTAGGCAAGTTTAGTGGTAATGGAAATTGAATCTGACACCCTGTAATCATGAGGGATGACCCCACTCACACACACATACATTCACCAGCCCATACTGGCCCAAAGATTAACAAACTTGAACTGAAGAACATTTTATACTGCTAAAAATTATGTTAATGGCAATATTTTGATTACTTGAATAATTGGAATAATCAAAAACAGCAATAACTGGTACAGTTAACTTTGATTAGTCCATTTAATCATAATTTTGGTTGAATGTTAGAATTATTGAAAATAGTTGTAATTGGAAACATAAATTTTAATTAGTTGACTTGTCATTATTTGATTATATTGTATAATCAATTAAATCACCCATCTCTAATCTACACATGTATGCTTCCAAAGCTGCAACCTTCAATGATGTGACTTTATTAATTCAACCACTCAGATAGACCATTGATAAGCATATTGTCAAAATTTTTAACAGCTTTATAAATCTAGATTAAAGCACTTCTAGTTCTTCTGTGCTTCATGAACAAGTCCAAAACTTAAAACTTCCTGTAGACTGGATTTCATAAGCCAAGTATTATAGTACAAACCCATCACTACTCTCTTGATATCCTTCTATAAGTAGGGAGCTAAAATTGCATTAGTAATGTAAATGAGGCTTCACCTGAGTCTTGAACAGGGTTAAAAATGACCTATTTATTCATAAATTAAAGAATCCTCTAAACAGACCCAAAGCTAAACACACAGCTGAATGCTCCAATAATCACACCTTGATTAAATTATTTTGTTCCACAACACCAGTATTTCTCATATAAGAAGTAAGTTTCAAATTTGCACATCCCAAGTGCTTAACTATTTTCATATTTTGAATTACCAAGTCTCTCTGTTAAGGTTGTTATGAACAAAAAATAATAATATTAACAGAAATTTTCCTTAGTACTTTAGCATTATCAGCTAATCTAAAAATATTACTTTCTAAGAAACTATGTTGTTTGTTGATATTAATAAACTATGAAAGTTCCAAATATATCTTTGAGAGACAACATTAAATACATCTAACAGTTGGAAAAAATGTCCACTTATCATCTCTCATTATTTTCTGCTTCTGGGATAAGAATCAGATGAAATTCTATATTCAAATTGAAAAAAAAAATATTATATTCTATAGAAAAAAGGTTCATAGCCCCCTCTTTGGTTTTTCACTCCTGATTTTCTCTTTTTCCTTCAAGATCAGGGACTGGCATCTGAGTACCCACCTCTGTTCTTTCTGTCATTTCTTGGTCATAATGCAATATTGTATTGTGAATTTCTCTCTCCATTGGTAATTTCAGCCTGGCCTGTGGATGATCAAGGTTTATGTTTTAGATGCCTTTCTCCACATCCCAATCGCCCTGTCCTCACAGTGTTTTCTCCTGTTCATCTACATGGATCACTGTAGTGTTTGTTTCCTTGTATTCACATTTGCATTATGTAGACTTTCACTTATCTTCTTTATGTTCTGGGTCTGCAATCCATTTTATGTTGGTAACAGGCTTCTTCTTGCCTTTTCCCATACATAATCCTTCCAACTTCCCTTCCTCTTTGCAGCTCAAATCATTTGGTGTGGCCCATCAAATTTCCTGATTCTTCTTCACCCTGACCATATTTCTCATTCACCTGCTAATTAATTCTCTTTGACTAGTCTTGGCTGTGCCCAACCTTCCTTCTTTTAATTACTATACTTCTAATGTCTAGTCACCATGTTTTGCACCCTGCATTTACTTTTTCCACTTGAAGTACTTTCTCCTTTGCGGACCATGGCTTCTCCAGAATCTCTCTTTCCACTTCGCTCTACACATATATATGCTCTACAGTGGATGCTGCATGACCAAAGGACCCTTTACAGGGTTCCACCAACCTCACAAGTCCACTCCTCTCCTTCACTTCTGAAGGATCTTGCTTGGCAGCTGAACATCTCTACTATGACCTCCAATGTTTCCTTACCTCATCCTAAACTGGGCTTTCACCTATTTATGGATGCTTTATTTCTCTATGGATGTGGAGCATCTCTGAATGACACTCTGACTTCTGGCTCATGGTCTCTGGAGGGGCATTCTCTACTTATCACACCTTTCATCTGCTTGCTGTCTATAAGGCATACCCACAATTCTTTCCTCACCTTATAGATCAATTATATCTGATCCATTTGGTCAGCTACACTGCTTGTCTCATGTCAATTGTCAAAGTAGCACACACACTCCGGGTCTCCCTGCTTCCTGATTTTGGGGAGTTTCATAACTGGTCATGTTCTAGGTTCATTGAACATTATCGCTGGCTGTCTTTCTCAATGAAACACATGGAATGGTCCCTCCACTCATACATCCTCTGTTGATCTACTCTCAGCTTACTACTCCACAAATAAATGCTTCTACCCCACCCCTAATAATCAGTCTCCCTCTCTTTGGTGTCCTGTAACTCATCCCTGGTGCTGTTTATGATCTCAGTCAGGTTTGGTGTCATCTTTTTCTGTAGGCCTGTCTTCTCCCCCACCTCCTCACTTGGATCCTTACTCTTATTTGGAACACCCCTTGCAGGATCCTATTGGTTGCCCCTCACTGGTGACCCCAACCTTGGTTTTCATAACTCATTTCTCTTATCCAATCTCCCCCTCCCTAAATACCATATCTTCTGATTCAATCTTGCATGTTATTCTTTCATCAGGGAGTGACATCCCTTCATCTTCATATGCAGGATTCATCTGGTCCATTGCTTTTCAAGCCGTACCATCCTATCATGTATTTCCTTATTGTGCCAGACTAGTCACACTTCTTCCTCTTCACGTACTTATTGCTGTTGGTCTCCCTTTCACCATTTCCTCTCTGACCACTCTGCTTTATAACATACTCCCTCCTGTTTCATGTGTGTTCTTTCTTTGCTTGTCTTGTCTCTTCGATTATGGGCTCTTGGGCGGCATTTCTACCACCTATCATGATGCCACAGGATCATTTCTTCACTGGTCCTTTCTACCCTCTTCTGTTCCTTCCTTATCCACAAACCTTGCTGTCATCCTCTTTTCCCAATTGCAATCTCACTGTGGTTCTCCACGCTTTTCCCAGGACCCTCTCAATCCTCTAACAGCTTGTTTGATGTATCATTTCTTTTTAGACACATGTGTCCTCCTCATTCTTGCCTATGGTTACTGTCGTTCAGTTGTCTGTGCCATGATTTTCTCTCAAATTATCTTAAACCACAATTATCTTCTCCTTTATCCTGGTCAGTTCTTCTTCCTGTAGCAATGGATGCACCTTTCTCCTGTACTCCTTCTTACTAATCACTTCTCTATACTTGTTCCTTGCCATATAGACTCCTGTATTCTGTCAAGGTCATACATTGTTTGTCATACTCTTCCTCCTTTAGGAGCTTTAATCATTGTCCTTTTTCATTCTTTTGGTCCCTTCTTGTACCTGGTGGATGAATGTAAGCTCTTTAATGTCTTCTCGTCAGATTCATCACCTCCCACATTCTCTAGCTACTCTTTTTTTTTACTAACTTTTGATGCTCTTCTCCAGGATGGCATGTGGACTACCACTCATTTCTTTGTCTCCCACTATCTGCTCCACCTGGCTGTCTCATCTTCAAAGGGATTTAGGCTTCTACCTCTGGCCATTTTCTAATCCACTTCCCACCTATGGGCAGGTGAGTGTACAAAATCTGGCAATCACTATAGGATCCTACTTACCCAAAATCCACATTGAGCCAGGATAATGGAAAGCATTCTACTCTTAACTCTACAAATACTCACTGTGAGATGAGGTGACATGCAAGATCATTAAACCATTTAAGGTTTCCTTATGATATCTCTCTCTCTCTCTATATATATATATATATATATATATATTACTTTTCATGTCAATTCTAGGCCATATCCATTCATGGACTATCATAGAATAAGCCAGCACCAGAGCAGCATTTCTGCTCACTTCTCTGGCTAGTTCTTGCTGGCTTTTAAAAATAGGGTTTTTCAGTCACCTTTTGCACTGTTTCCAGTAAAAGACATATCCGGACAGAAGGAATGATGGGAATCCAGGCACATTCTCCAGGTCTCCCCCCTTTCATCAAGTGGATCATGGGAGACCCTTGCCACTTACCATCTAACTGGGTTGGTGGACCATGGAAAATCCTCACGGATTGGGATCTAACTGCTGGAGCTAGAGCAAGGGGCCTCTCTATGGAGAGAATTGGAGCTGGGATGACACCAGAGTGTAGTGCAAGTTAGCCATTGAATCTGATGGTAGAGGAAGTGAGCACACAAGATATGGTCTGAACAAGCTTCAACCTCATTACACATATTGGCTGTCTTAGTTCTTGGATGGAAATGTACCTGTTCGGCTCATCTTTGTGACACTAATATGGCTTTTTTGCCTCTTCTATCTTCTACTCAAGTGAAGAGTATACCCTGGATGAGACAAAAGGTGGGCCCCTATAGAGCCCCTGTCATTGGGTGTCACACCCCATGGGCTTCCTTTGGGCACCTTCTGAAGGAAGCTCATTAGGTAACTTTTGCACTGATCCCTCCTCCATCTCAACGTGAGATTCTAATTATATGTATGCGGAGGTGAGGTATTGTTTTGGAAGTTAACATTTTCCTTACCTGAAAATGTATTTCTGACAGGTACACACCACTTCACATGTTCCTGTCCATCCTACCAACTTTATCAGTGCACATTTATTCATTGCTTTGTCAAAGAATGAGGATTCATGAGTATGAATATAGGGAGTTATTGCACATGGAGGTGTGTCACACTCCTATTGGTGAAGGGTTCTGCAGCATGATGATGTCGTCTTTCATGTGACATTAGGTGGGAGTTTCCACAAGGTTGATGGCTTGCAAATCTCTTTGTCAAAGGAAAGAAGCTCTCTGTGTATAGAGGTGAGGAAAATGTTAACTTGTGGTCCTATCTGAAAAAAAGATATTGACTTATTGGAAGGGATTCAGAGGAGGGCTACCAGAGCTGGAAGGGTTATATTTATGGAATAGGTTAAGATCTTATTTATAAGGTTAACTGAGGGATGTATAGGATAAAAGTCTCTTATTTCCTTGCAGTATATTCTAAAGATAATAGGACAAGAGAACACAAGTTTAAGATTTGGAAAAGATAAGCTAGGCTTCAGTTAAGACAGTTTTAATCTTCTAACAGGTTATTGATTTATAGACTAAGTTACTGTTCATAATAGATGAGGCCAGCACTCTAAACAAGTTTAAAAGTGATATTGATGATTTTTTAAAAAATATAAGGTGGATTTAAATCTTTACTTTTCTCAATGGTGGATCTATAAGGAAAACCTTGAAAAAACCAAATGATCCCTTGTTTTCTTTATATTATCTCAGTTAGTCTAGGCTTTTATACATGTACAGGATTAATATTAAACATAACAAAGCACAGATGATTAGATGGTGTATTTGTCTACAAGCAATTAATAACATTCTTACACACATGAATTATAAGTTTTGAAACGTAACTATTTACAGTTAATTTATAGAATAGTTTCATAATTTGTTTTAACTTTGCACTGAAAAATGATATCTTATTGTCTTGTGGTATAAAGTTAACTATTGTAGCTATATACTTCTTTCTATTATTAATTTCATGAAGTGTATTGTTGAATGTTACTAAAATATGATAGAATTTAAATCAAAAGTGCTTAAATAAAGAAAATTTTCCATGGGTGTTTGTTATGTTATTTTTTCAGGTCATGCCTTTGTCGTGTCGGTTCTACAGTCAGCAGTATCCAGAAGTGGAAGATGTTGTCATGGTAAATGTCCGATCAATTGCCGAAATGGGTGCTTATGTACATCTGTTAGAATACAACAATATCGAAGGCATGATCCTTTTGTCCGAGTTGTCACGCCGACGTATTCGATCCATCAACAAACTTATTAGAGTTGGTCGAAGTGAATGTGTGGTGGTCATCAGAGTAGATAAAGATAAAGGTAATGTTTTACAACACTGAATACCTTGTTAGAATACAATAATTCATAAAGTATTTTAGTTTAATTTATCATTTTACAAAGTAGCCTGTTCTGCATTTGGTTATACTACTTTGGTAAACACTGTTCATGAACTCTGTTCTCAGATTTCAGAACATATTAATTTCCTAGATTGAGGCAATACTGCTATAGTAGAATACATTTATTACACATATAAAATGATTATAAGGAAAACCTAATATCTAAAATGCTTTTATATTAAAAACTACTTTCCTGAGAGGAACATCTTACCAGAGGCACATTGAGTTGTAGGTTCGGTTCTGCTCAGAACTGTTTGGACATGGTACAGTATTTCTAAACTATATTATAGTGTGCATCTAAATTAGTTTTCATGTAAACTAGCATTACTTTTATTTATCTTTCTTTAGTCTCAAAAATACAAGACTAGTGACTTTGATAAATACATATCAGAATGCAGGATTATGTGATTGTTGTTTGACTGTGCTGTCAAATAATGGCAGTTATATTTTACTCAAAAGATATTTCTAAAGAGAGAATGGATGCCGAATTCCATACAATTGCTCTAAAATGTTAAAAAATTAATTTATTAAATCATGGCAACTTGATCTGTAAAAGAAGCTTTTCGTTCTGGCAGACATCTGTATCTATGTAAACAGTAATGAAGGTTGCTCAGAATATGAACGACTAAGTTGAGAAGCATCCTTTTGAGGCAGGAAATGAAAAAGATGCTGCTCAATATCTTGATTTGCAAATTTTTTGGAAACTATAGGCTGGAAAATATGAAAACAAAATCACTAAAGTTCAAAGTCTGTCACTTCAGATGTCTGCTTGCTGGTAACGATGGTAATCAATCTTTGCAGTTCAACTTTTCCCATGGTTCTTGACCAGTTCGATGATTAATGAAACATGGCTAGAAAACATTCTTTGGACAGACAATGCTCACATTCATCTTGGTGGGTATTGTCAATTCAAGAAGTACTATAACTTGTATTCATAAACATCCACACACATAGTTTACCAGAAGCCTACTCATGATCCTTATGTTACTGCTTGTTGTGTCTTCACCATCATGTTTATCATCAATCCTTATTTCTTTCAAGTTGTTAAATGTTGAATGAAACTAGCTGTTCCCATACAGTATTTGTAATATGAAGTCCATTATAAAAATGTTGGAGGTCCACAACAAGGCATTAAAACATCATCTCCAAACGAGACGAGAATCCTCTCATATGTGTCACCCAACTGAAAATCTTACAACAGTCACTTTTACTGAAGACGCAATTTTAAACTGTTCATAGAGACAAAAATTTCTAATAAGACCCCTAGGCTCTGAAGTTGGCTATTTGTTTTCTTTGAAAGTAAAAGGAAGCGTATATACCAGGCTTATAGATATCAGCATCTTAATTATCATCAAACAATAAACATCATATTTTGAACCATCTCAGTTTCTGTATATATCTTAATAATGTGGTTATACTATGTGCTGAATTCTGCTAAAATACATCAGAAAACCTCTAAGTGATGTCCATAAATACAGTGTTTAAATGATAATATATCTTACTAAATATTTCAATGTTAATGTTTTTTGTATGATGAGACAAATTATTTTTATGATTTGATTTTTCTTCAGGATGACCCTTTCAAACTAGCTATCATAGTTTCAATTAATGTGAAATTTTCTGCCTGTACTTTCTTCATATAGAAATTTATTCATACTGAGATGGTATGTCAACTAACTTGTTGGAGATATTTTCTTATTTCATGCCTTATACAATGTAGAATTTTTTTTTTTTATAAAATGCCTTTTTTACAATAGAAATCAACTCATTTGAAAAGAGGTGTTTGACTGTTACTTTGTCATGTTTGTGATCGCTAGAAGCTGTAGTTACTTTGACTAATCAGGCTTTACAAGATCTGGTTTAGAGATGCAAATAACCATGTTAAAATGTGTTTTTGTAATGCATGAAACCAAACCAGTAAATAGCAGTTTTAGGTACCTTTGGATCTCAAACATATTAGTAGTGCAGAGCTTTGTTTGCTTTTGAATTTCATGTAGTATTAATTAAAATAATAATAGCACTTGTCATTAACTAGTACAATGAAACTGTATTGTAGTAAAGTGTTACTGTTTAATAAATGAGTCCTCTTTAATTAATTTTAGGTTATATTGACTTGTCTAAGAGACGAGTTTCACCAGAAGACATCATGAAATGTGAAGAAAAGTTTGCAAAGGCAAAAGCTGTAAGTAATTTTACAAATGTACAAATGATCTATTTATTACAAAAATAATGTTCATTTGGAACATTTGGTTTTTTACACTTAAAAAAACAAAATAGAAACTTAACAAGCTGTAGAATGAGCATACAATGCCTTACCCCGTATGAGGATTTAAGCTGTTGATTGTTTCAATTAATCAATATAATCAATTGTCTTTATGAAAGTAATCAACTAAATAAAAATAGTATTTGTGATTAATACAACGTTTGATTATTCTAACTATCCAAGTAGTTGAAATATTGCCATTATGATTTCTTCTTCATGTTATTTTTAATTTAAGGCTGTTCAGCTTAATTGATTAGTGTTACAACTCACAAAAATAATCAGTTAATCAAAAACAATTTTCCATTATTACTATTTTTGATTATTCCAACTATCCAAGTCCCACGTGAGAATAAATGATTAGTTGAAATTAATTGATTAATAAACCTGACGATAAAGTGATTAGCAAATTTCATTAATTACCCAGATCTAGTGAAGATGCACTGAATGATTGAGTGTGAAGATAATTCACTAGAGAAATTATTGATATTTAGTTTCTCTTATCAGGTGTGTCATATTTGCCTTCCTGTGTTAGGTATGATTAATGATATTTATCTGAGGTAATCTCTTCTGTATATTTTAGCTGTTTTAATAATAAATTATGATTATTAGGTAAAATTAAAACTAAAATACATGTTATATTGAATTTGCACATTTATTTTCTCAGTATATTGATAGAAAGGTAGTTTAGAAAAGGCATTTTATTTGTTAAGATTGTGTACATGTGAAAAATAGAGAATGAAGTTTTGGACAATTGTAGTTTCAAACATACTTGTTTAACCCATTCACTGAGGCTGGAATGTATATTTCCCAGTTCACTGGGAAATATATGTCCCAGCTGCAGTGAAAGGGTTAAACAAGATTAGATTCTGGATTGTGAAATAGAACTCTTAGGTGACTAGGCAGCTAGAAAGAGAAATACTGAGAGGTTAGAACTTATTGTATCTTAACACAAGTAGGATACATGAATGTGCTTATAAAGAATAAGTAAATATTATTTTTAGAGAATGCAATATTGAAGAAATATAAGTATTCTGAAAAAAATGCATATCTTTCTCTCAGCAAAACGTTTAGCTTAAGATTCATCCAAGGAGAATTTCAATCTTAGCTAACTCGTTAATTTTGAAGGAAGTTAAATGGCATTTAATAATATGAAACAAAATTTAAAACTATTCTGGGTTCAAGCTATGGAAAATGTGATATTGCATTCATTTAGAGGGAACAGTCAAGTAGATTCACACTTAATTGGTAATATTTTGCATAAACCTAATGAAATATTTTATTAAGGGGAAGGAGCATCCTGTGTTTATATTAGTGTGTGTGAAGAATAGATTGGTTAGTATCTTTTTTTATTATGGTTGTGAAAAACTAGCTTGGTTAGAAAAGACTAATCCAAGTTCTGTAAGATTGGCTAAAACATTTCTTTATTATGGTTACGAAGAACTGGAAAACATTAGCTTGGTTAGAAAAAGACTAATCCAAAATCTTTTAGTAACTCTCTTTGTTCTAGTCAGTTCTTGAATTTTCTGAAAGAAGCTAATATGCATGTTTGAATTAAAAACTACTTTTATTTGTTGTTTTTGTTTAAAGTTTAGCTTTCTGCAATTTGCAACAAACTGTAGAAGTTGTAGAACCTGAGCTATTTATTTTTCTATGCATTAGCCTCTAAGGAAAAGGTAATATTTTGTGAGGTTGTGAATTTTATTTTTATTTCATTATGGGTTGTTTACAGTCCATTTATTATTCTTTCTGTTGTTTAGTTAAGCTGTGAATTTTTAGTTTATATTTAAATGCTCACCTTCTAGAGAATCATGTTGATTTTGAGTAAGTGTGTATGAATTATGAGACTGTCACCAGTTTCTTCTAGTGGTGATGTACAGATATTATTTATGTTGCAAAAGAGTATGTAAATTATGGTCACCTGAAATGTACTCTCATGATCTAACCATTGAATAAAAACCGTAGTATGAACTTTCACAAGTTAATTCACGAGAGATAGCCGAGAGGTATTTTGCTAATAATTTTGTAGCTGTGTAAATATGGAATATTATTATTGTGGAATTAGGTTTTTTCTTCTTCTCACTCTGGTTCTTTATTTTCCTAACTCCTTTGTTTATTGAAATGTTAACCCTGATATTTATCGTATGTTGTTCTTTGATGTTAATAGCAAGTCCTGGCTAGGCACATATTTATTAACTGCATTCTAATTGATCTGAAGTTTTAATTTTTAATTTCTGTGGTAGTTAAAGTTTAATAAATTCACTTTATGTCTTTCAACCCTTGTTGTAGTGGCTGTTTTGTTGTGGTTTAGTCTGTTACAATTTTAAGTAGTATTGCTTAATATAGGTGTTAAAATACAGACCCTGTTGCTACAACACAGGTTTTTAATTGGATTAAGTGTGGTTAACTCCAATTTCAAGTTACTAGAGACTCCTAGTAAAAGAAGTAGAATATTCTTGTTGACTTTAGTGTAAACCTAACCTATAATAGATATTGGTATTTGAATACAGGATACTTTGCCCCCAAAGTCCTGAAGATAGTCATAGGTTAGAGGTATTAACCTTACATGAATAGGTTTCTTTCTTGCTTTTTTAAAAGTGATGTAAATCTACTTGTTCTTTTTTTTTTAGCATTTTCACTTGTTTCTTTAGGGGATCTATATATATATATGCTGAAATAAAGAAGACACACACACTTTGTTAATCCAAAGTTTTTTACTTTTTTTTTGTAGGGAAGCATTTTGTTAGGATGAAATCATTGATATTGAAAAAATATCTTGCTGTGTTTCAGGTAAACAGCATTCTAAGACATGTGGCAGGAATCTTGGGTTATGACAGTGACGAGCAGCTTGAGGTTCTCTACAAAAAGACAGCATGGCACTTTGATGAAAAATACAAGAAGGCTGCAAGTTCCTATGATGTTTTCAAGCATGCTGTTTCGTAAGTTACATCTGTGCTATTTCCAAAATGGTAATACCTCCTCTCATCCATAGCTATCTCGACCTTAATTTGCCCTTTAGGCATTGGCAATTTTTTTAAAAGTACACCAGTCATTTATACCTCTATATTTTTTTGTGTCATTGCAGCAACATGTGACCACCCTCCACCAATCCCATTGCACCCTCTGTACTAGCGCAGGTAGCTCTCTCTACCCTTGTGTCACAATCCTCACTTTCTTGACTGGTATTCTTGTGTATAAACGTGTGTTTTACATTCTCCATGTGACTGCACAATTTTTATATTGTGCTTGATTACCAATTAATATCAGTTTCAAGTTCAAGTTTCTACTCGTTTGTTTTTGAGATGTTTCTGTTTTCAGAATACTACTTTGTTGATATAAATTCAGGTTTCTTATGGTGGTTGATAATTTTTCCACCATAATTAGACAGCAGTTATAACACTAGGCCTCAGTCTCAGGTTTCACGATGTCTGATGAGAAAGCACAGACTTTCGTTTGCGAGGAGTTCGTGTCTTACGTTTGGCCAGGAATTTTTTCCTTTTATGATAGGTATTGTTCTTTTTCCCAGGAGATCTGTAGTACATTTTTCAGTGTGTATGTCTCACTCCCCCATAGATATACCCTTGTTTAATGAGTTTATGTGAGCTTGTGTGTGTATGGATCCAATTTCTGCACTCGATAATTTACGTCATTCATGTCTTCTATAGTCAGTGTTGTGCAAGTTCGAATTTTATACTTCTTTTACTTTCTAGGTTACTTTAGTTTACAACTTGCTTTTAGAGTTTGTTTTTTTGTGTTAATTTGGTTTAGTATTTTACATTTTTTCACTGTTAATGTTATTTGGTTACAAGTTCCATTTGTTTGTATATGTACTACTAGTCACATCTACTTGGGGATAAGTTTTGAGTTAACCATTATTTTTGTTAACTGTGTTCCTTTTTATTCTCTTGTTCTTTAGGGTAAGTTTCTTTTTGTTTCTTTGAGTCGACTTATACATTTTAGTGGTTTTGTACTTTAGGTGTTACTTATTTTTTATGTTTTAGGTCGATTTTCTTAGTTTTGCAGGTGTGTTACTTTTAAACTCTTTGTAGATTACACATTTCTAAGTTTTTGTTAGTTCATTAGATTTGTGTACTTCAATTTCTTTAGTTTAAGTGTCTTTTTGTCTACACTTCACGACAGATCTGTTCTTTTTACGATTTCTCCATGAGGGTTTTTGATTTCCATTTTGCTTCCTTCACTTCTCAGATCTCCTCCCCTCCTCCTCAGATTCATACCGTGTCTGTTCATCTTGCTCAGTCTGTTTGTTTCATACTACACAACGGAGCTATCTAACATGTGGAGCACACTCAACCAGGAGTTTAGTCCTGTTCTTCTTTGTCTCCCTATACACAAGATTTCTTGTTCTTTCCTGGCTATATACTTATCTGCAGTCACCTTGCTTCACCATGGAGTCCTACCTCTCACTTTAGTGGGTTTTTATGCTCCAGTGTCACATTCTTCTCTTCAGTTCTTCTAGGTGAGTTTTGCTTTCCTGTTCTTGGTGCTCACAGACTGTCTTTCTTCAGCTCTGTGTGTTTTGTGGAGTGGTATTTCCCTTTTGCACATCATTTTCACTTGTTGGGTCTTCAGACTCACATCTCATGGATGACAGGCTTCTTCTCACCTCTTCCTGCACCTGGTCAGTCACTCAGACCCGCTTCCTTCTTCAAGAAGCTTCTCAGGTGGGTTTCTTTTCTGGTTGGAGAAGCCTTTCACTACCCCCTCACATTATCTTATTCGTTTGGGAATTCTCTTCACATCCTTTTTGGTTGAGCTTAGCCTTATCCACTTTGGCTCCAGGATATTGAGCAGAGAGTTATGTTTACCATCCCTTCTCCTTCTCTCTCTATCCATGAGGTTTTCTCTCTTTCGGGATTTGGTCTTCCTTGGAAGTGCTCATTCCCTTGGGTTGGACACACATGCATTCCCTTTGTTGGATACATCTCGACCAGTGGAACCTCCCTCATGATCCCTTGGACCATCCCATTTTCCTTGATTCTCCTGAGTTCATTATACCTTTTTTTTCTTTCCTGCAGGGGAGAATGATTTTGGTTTTTTTATGCAATTCTACTATCATCAGCTTTATCACATAAAAAGAGGGAACCATGTACTGATCTCTGTCTGGTCAGACTCTGGATTTCATGTACTGGGCCAATGTTCTCCGATTTCTGACTCTTGTGGCCAATCTCTTATCATGTTCCCACCAGGTTTTCCATAGAGTGAACTCTTCATCCTCATGTTTTTCTGCATATTTGTATATATTTCCTATTCACTGGTATGTCATACCTTCTTCCTTTTAGTTTTCAGTTCCTCATCCTTCAACTGTGGAGATAGATGCTTTTGGTCAAGATCAGAGAGGTCTTCACCTATGTGCCTACCCTCTGATTTGACTAATCTTCTGGGTCCTTTCCCTTTTCCAGACAAAACCTTGTCGTGCTCTGCTGGTTCCTCTGCATTGGCCACTCAGATGTAGCTCCCTCTGCTCTGGCCCTTACTGGAGCAACACTCTCTGCCCCTTTCTCTGTCCACTGCAATTCTGTGTGTCTTTTGTCCAGTCCCGTGCTTCAGCCCAGGGACTCACCCCCTTGTGTCACATCTTTCATTGCCTACACCTTTTGCCATTCCTCTTTGTATATGTACCAGAGGCATAAGTCTTGCTTCAGTCTTTCGTCTTTTTCCCAGGACTCCAATCCCTCCTCTACTTCTGTTCCTCTCCTGTCCCAACTCTGCATCTGGTTGTTTATTCAGGGTTTGTCTGTTTCAACTGTTGCTGCTTATAGAGCTATCCTGTTGAACTCCCTCCTTTCTCTCTCTTACAGAAAGTTTCTCTTCCCCGAATTGTTCCATCTCTTTCATCTGGTCCATCCAACACATTTCCTTTGTTCTGCCGGATTGGGATCTCCATGTTGTTCTTCCTATCCTGTCCAGTTCTCTCTTTGATCCCATTGCAATTTGTTCCTTGTGTGTATTTCTCGTACGACCTCAATCCTCCCCCTCCTGGCATGTGGTCTTTATTGTTCTGATTTTTATGCCATCCTTTACTATTTCTCACATCCCCCCGGTGGTACATGGGTAAGTCTTCAGATTTACAATACTAAAATCCGGGGTTCGATTCCCCTCAGTAGACACAGCAGATAGCCAGATGTGACTTTGCTATAAGAAAACACACATATACAATTTCTCCTATGTTTTTCATTATCTGGATCTAGCATTCCTTCCCTGGACTTCGTCTGTTTGTGTAGGTTGTTTTGCCTTTTCTCCTATTTTCTTTCCTTTCATTCCCTTCCTTTTCCTACCTGTATTCCTATAAGTTTCTGGATCATCTCCTTTGTTCAGTTCATTCCCTGCTCTGTTGTTTGGCTCGTACTGTCTCCTTTCATTGTTTTTGTTCCTGTCTTATTATTCCATGGAATTCCTGTTTCAACTGCTCTTTTTCCTATTATTCTCATGGGTTGGGTTCATCAACTCCTACGCTAGGCGTATTTGGATGTGTCCCTGGTTGGTTGCCATCTACATATTGTTCATTCACACCTAATTTGTCATCTAACTCTGTCTTTAGCTGCTTGACACTGCTGTCGTTTGGAGAGGATCATTCAGGTCAGTATGTGGAAAACTCCCTATACTTTTGTCACTCTTTCTCTGCACAACCTCGCTGTGTCTTCCTTGAGCAGATATTGTCTTCCTCCTGTGGCAGTTCTACACACGTCTGTTCACCTGTGACTGGGGTAAGTCATCATATTCTTATTATTTTTTTCTTTTATTGTTGGTTATACATCATATTTCAGGATCCCACCTGGTGGCAGGTGTTGCTTGGTCAGGTATGCTGAATGTTTTATCTTAGCACTATATCTGTATACTTCTCCAGTGCTCATTGTGGAGATGGGGTGTTTCTGTATGACAACCAAACACTTTTCTGGTGGTGTATCTATAGATATATATATATATCATTTTTTCCATCAATAACTATCTGTTCATCTATCTAT